TCTGGGCCGAGGGCGCGCTCAAGCAAAGGACATGCAGCAGGCTCTCATGGTGCTCCTCAAATTCTCGTGCCAACACGCACAACAACTACGCGACCCCGCCGCCTCAGAATGGCTATCCATTCTCACGCCGACGATCGCCGAGGTGGTCAAAGCAGGACGGGCAGCAGGCCAGCAATACTCACAAGCAGCGCAGATCGAGGCTCTCAAACAGCAACTGGGGCCACCTCATTTGTACATCGCGCGCGCCGTGTGCAGGTGCCTGGCGGGGTCGACGGCATTGCAGACCAACAAGCCGCAGTCGCGCCTGGTAGTCGACGCGTTCTACAAGAAGTTCGCATCGGTGGCCTCAGTCAAAGAGCTCGCGCTGATGGTCAGGCACTGCAGGCCCAAGAAGTGCTACGCCGACGAGTACACGCGGATCCAGTTCTCCATCGCAGACACCCTCTACGCACCAGCAGGCGGAGGAACGGACGAGATATCGCACAGCAAGTTGGGGATCGAGAACGCCACGGTCATCTTGTTGGAGGAGCTCGGCGGCAAGGCGAACTGGGGAGCGGCCCCCCAGGGGCACTTGGGGATGCCGGCGCAGAAGCTATTGGACAGGGCGAAGTCTCGAGAGGGAGGCCGCAAGAAGTAGCCTGGGAAGATCGTATTCGGCAGAAAGAATCACAGACTCCAGTCACCTAACGGGTTGCGGTCGCCGCCTCAATATCCTATTTTCGTGGAGATCATCACGCCTTTGGAATTGGGAGTATAGGCTCCGACATATGACGCATGGGTTTGGGCAGTGGCAACTATTCTTGCGACGATGCAGGTTTCCCGATGGTGTGTTCTCTTCTGGATGGTTCCTGATCGGAGTTGACTTCTTGAAGTGCATTGTCTCATGTTTACTCGTTTGCAGGCGGATGACCTTCACTACCTTCGACAGCGGCTACCCCTCCTTCTACGCGTTCTGGAGTATCACCACGTACGCCGATTTGACGGATTATTCTCACTACACGGATGGTGGTTTGACGAGTACCTCAAGTTGCCTCGTAGGCTTCGGCCTCGGCTTCTGTGAAGGCGGCGGGGGCGACGTGCCCAGCGCGTAGCCCCCAGCTACACCGACCACTCACCCAGCTACCATTATTGCGAGTGTGCTGCGCCTGGCCCCCTCCCACCACCCACGCCCCCCCCCCCCCCCTGCTTCCTCGTTCTTGGATCGGCGGTCGAGGGAGGAGCGAGGAGGAGGGTTAGAGGGGGGACCTGGAGCGACAAATTTGTTACCTGAATTTTTTGACGGGGCAGGGGGGGTGCCTTGGGCGCCCAGCCAGGCACGCCCGGCGCCGCTGGCCTCGGACTCGTCGAGGCCCGAGGGGCATCGCCCCCAGCCCAGCGAGATATTGCAAGTTGCTTCTTCCTGAATGAGTTTCTCACGATGGATTTCACGGCGCGCGTCACCAAACACCTCCTTGGGTGAGCAGCCTCGCCAGGGACTGCGCGAGGCGCAGCCTTGCTTCGAGCGACGGCTCGAGGTCTGCGGGTCACAGCGGACGAGACCACGCGCAATACCGAGTCTTCTTATTATTCCCCCTCCTCCGCCTCCCCCCCCCCCGCTTCCTTCCCCTCCCCCCCCTTCCTTTTTGTTGTCTGATGAGATGCGGGGGGGGGGGGGGGGGGGGGCGAAAGAGGAAGGGGAATAGAGGGGGCAGCTCTTTGCTGTTGCAAGCATCGCGCGCGCTGCCAGTAGCTGTTGCTGGGCAATATCGAAACCTCCATGTGCCTTGTGGGTGGCGCGCCTCCCTCGCGCGCACTCGTCGACCGCGGCGTTTTCTTGTTTCCGCCAAATTTCTTGCAATCATGCTGTTTTGCTTATACCCGGGAATATGTAAATCATGTTAACGTCAAAATCAAATAGATCATTGGTAAGGGTTCGCATTCAACTTCCAGGACGGCATGCCGACTTTTTTATTGTGAACATCACAAAACTGGCGGCGCCAGCGCGGTGGGTGACCCACCCACCGCGCGGGTCACCCGAACATGTGTCGGTCATCGCTAAGAGCTCGGTTGCGTTCCCAAGCCAGCAGGGCGCCTTTCCCACTGGACACAGAAATCTTCACGCGCGCGAGTGGGCAGTTCTGACACCAGATCCCATGTCAACCTCAACGCCAAATCCGCGAACGCTAAGGGTTCCTTTTAGTTTCCAGGCCAAAAAGGCGACGACTTTCCCATTGTGGACAATGCAAACTGGCCACGCGCGATCACGCGCAGCTGGTGACCCACCGACCGCGCGGGTCACCCGAACTCTCGCCCGTCACCTTAACTAGTCATATTGGTTTCCAGGACGTGCTGGCAACTTTCCTTCCGGGGGCCTCTCCTTCCGTGGGTACTGCAGAACTCGCCGCGCGCGCGCAGCGGGTGGCCCGCCCACCGCGCGGGCCACCCGAAATCTTACCAGTCACCGTCAGTTTTCAGATTGGTTTCCAGGTCGTCATGGCGATTTTCCGACCGTGGGCACTTCAGAACGCGCCACGCGCGCGGGCGCGCGGCGGGTGACCCGCCCACCCCGCGAGTCACCCGGAAATCTGTCGGCCACCGCTAAGGAGCCATTTGGGTTTCCAAGTCAGCATGGCGATTTTCCGACGGTGGACGCGGCAGAACTTTTCACGCGCACGTGCGCAGGGGATTTGTGCGTGGATCATGCGCGAAATCGTGCGCCAGAATGCATGTTCTTTCAACGTCGAACCCGTCACCGCTAAAGGTTGACTTTCGTTCCCAGGCAGGCATGGCGATTTTGCGACTGCGGACAATGCAGAATTCCCCGCGAACTCGCACGCGCGCGCGGCGGGCGACCCGTCCGCCGCGCGGGTCACCCGAAATATGTTCGATCACCACTAAAGGGTTCAATTTAGTGTCCACGACGCCGCGGCGACTTCGATTGCGCGCGCTACAGAAGTCCGCGCGCGGAGAGCCCTGCATTGCCCAGCGTGGGAAATTTACGCCCAAGCCGATGATCCAATCGGTCAGCGTTCGTAAGCCACGACAGGCATGGACGCTGCTTCAGGCCCGCTACGGGCTGTCTAGGGTTATCAGAGCTTGACAAGGGCTACCAGACCATGCCAAGGTCTTGTCACACGCTGACAATGAGACAAATTCTTTGGAAATTAACGGAACGCCGCAACAATGAACCATTAAACTGAACGCTCATGACATTGCAAAAACAAACACGGACATATCGCACGTCATGAACAGATCGTGACTCACGGGGGTCTGGATTTGCTGGGTCGGCGGCGGGTCTGCCGTCGGCGACCGAGCGTCGACGAGAAGGAGCTCGGCCGATGCGCCCGCTGCCACCTTTCCAGGAGCTGCTCGTTGGAATGTTAGCGGCCCGTTGGCCGTCGACTGTTCGCTTGCAGTCTGGCAGGAGGGCAGTCGCTTTTTCGAGCACACCTCTGATTACATGCAGCCGAATCCCCAACGTATTCGTGCAATGTTTTCTGCCCGGCCGCGGGGAACAGGGGCCGGCGTGTCCGGCGCGAACCTGGCCCATGCGAAGTAACGCTCTTGTTGGAACAGGAATAGAGTCAAGAACGCCGTCCAGCCCAACGCGGCTTTGGCGGTTTTCGCCGCGAGCCCCAGCGGTTGCTTCGGCGCCCTGTCGTTCCGTTACGATGACACCCCCACGAGCGCTGCCTGGGGAACTTGCGCCCTTTCGCACGCATCTGGGTCCTTGAGGCGCGCGGCCGCCAAGGCTTCTGCCGCGACGCGACCAGCGGGCTCGGCTTTGCGATCTTGCAGACTCCGCCGCTGGCGGCGAATTGCTTTCTCTGGACATGTCGCGGTTTGTCGGCGGTCGCGGCAACGGCATTTGGGGCTAGATGCTGCCCGCTCGCGCCGCGGGGGGGGGGCGTCGAAGTGACGGACATATTCTGGAATGGCATGAACGACGCAGGTGGGAAATATCCAGCAGCCTCCTCAATGGATGCGGGAGCTCGTTGAAGTTGCCGAAGAGGCCATCGGCGGCCCATTCCTCCGACATTGGTGCGACTTGGGGTTTCTCAGAGACCGAGCCACCAGCATTTGACAGGGTCGGACCCGCCCCGCTGGGAGCGCAGCTTGCGCCCGGATGAGGGGCGGATTCGGTGGTGCGCCAGCTCCGCGCGCCGAAGCGTGACCCTCGGGGGCTGGCGGCGCTCCCGGGCCCGGTGAATGAAATTCGGGGCCACGTCGAGCTGCTGAGCTTCACTTTCTTGAGCAGGAGTAGCCGCTGCTCGAACTGGCGGCACTGAAATGACTGTTTCTTCCCAACCCCTCTTGGCTGGGCATTCGTTATGAATGGAGCACTGCGGTCTCCACTTCTCCTTCTCCGCCCGCCTCCCGCCCCCCCTCCTTCTTGCCTTGTGCGTAATTGCCGCTTGTGTGTGTGTGTGCATGTTGCCTGCGGTACCTGTCTCCGACCTCGCCGACCCTGGGGTGCTGCGATCTGCGACGCTGTCGCCACTTTCGAGGGCTGATGGTGGGTCCAGCGGAGCGAGGCACCGCGCGGATCTGAGCGAGACCTCCATGTCCTTGAGGGGCTGCGATCTGCGACGCCGTCGCCATTTTCGAGGGTTGCTGGTGGGTCCATTGGAATGAGGCACCGCGCGGATCTGAACGAGACGTCGCCGTCCCTGGGGGGCTGCGATCTGCGAATCTGTCGCCACTTTCGAGGGCTGCTGGTGGGTCCGTGAGGCACCGCGCAAATCTGAGCGAGACCTCCCCGTCCTTGGGGGGGCTGCGATCTGCAAACGGGTGTGGGGCACCTCGCAGACCTGAGCGGGACATCGCCATTCCCGGGGGTCCGTGATTTGCGGAACCGTCGCTTTTTTCGAGGGCTGCTGGTGGGTCCACCAGAGCGAAGCACCGCGCAAACCTGAGCGGGACTTCGCCGATTTCGGGGGGCTGCGAGCCTCACGAATGCCGCTCGTAGAAGTATAAGCGCCCATGTCACGTCCAAGCTACTCATGCCCCGAATTGCGCAGGGGTCGGGTACGTCGCCGGGGTAATTTTAGGATTGGCGGTCCCGTGGCGTGGCGCAGTGACGGCTGGCGCGCGTAGGTGGTGGCTCTGAGGCCGCAACGAGGGGAGTCGTTACCTTCGCTCCCTTCGCCTCTGTCTCAAGCGTCTGATCGCCTGCCGTTGCGGGCGTTTGGCTCAAGCTGTTTCGCAAGGGCGAGACGCTTCCGGCGTCTTAGCAGAGAAAGGAGCGCACGCCCCCTCGTAGCGCGCGCGTGCCACTGCAATTCGTTACACTTCCCGTCTGCAAGATCCGCACGAAAGGATTCCCTGATTGAGGACAGGCGCGCGAGGATCATGTTCCACCATCATCGTCGGGCTGCGTCGATTGTCGGAGGAAAGACGTAGATTCCCTCGTGGCGCTGTTCGACCAGCGAACACGGCTCTACCTCCAAGAGGTTTCCAAGAAGGCCTCTCAAAGGCCGGTGGGCGGACTTCAGAGAAGCCCAGGCGCCCCTCCTCGCGCCACCCTCATTGTGCCCGCCGCCAACGTTAGGATGGCGCAATTTCTGCACCGACGCCGATGTTGGTCAGGCCCTCCTGTGCACAGGATCGGTTTGCACGCCCTCATTGCCTGGCCAGGAACTCACCAATCCTGGACCCACGATCGACCTGGTCAAAATCGTTGTTGGTGCGTGGCCGGCGCCACCCGAAAAGTATGGTGAATATGGAGGGGTGGTATTGCGCTCGCGCTTTACCCCCGCCTCCCATGCCTCCCCATTAGGCTGTCGTTTCTCTACCCGTCGACGCGAGTCATAGCGGACCTGGACTGCAAACAGGACCTCACCGTGGTATGCGCAACTGAAAAACAGGAGAGCTGCGTACATAGGAGGAGGAGGAGGAGGAGGAGGAGGAGGAGGAGGAGGAGGAGAACGAGGAGGAGGAAGAGGAGGAGGAGGAGGAAGAGAAGGAGGGGTAAGGAATATTCAACTTGTCATCGCCACCCTCCGCAGCCATTCTCTGGAGGGGCAGCGCGCCCGTCTGCTCCCCCCTCCAGCGGCTGGGCGGGGATGTCCGCTCCTGGCCGCGCGCTGCCCGCCGCCAGGCCGCCCAGGGGCCTCCTCCTCCTCCTCCTCCTCGTCCTCCTCCTCCTCCTCCTCCTCCTCCTCCTCCTCCTCCTCTCATTTGCGTCCTCCTCCCCCAGACCCCTCGAGTCGCGAAAAAAGACCCGACTGGAAGTGTTTGGACGTTTTCAGCCTGTGGGGATCCTCGCCGGGCAAGCGGCTCAGGATGAAAAGCCTTTCCTGGGGAAGGGGTCGAGCCCTCCAGGAGGTCACGGCATGAATCATCATGACGTCGGGGGTCTGGGCCCCCCCCCCCGGTCCTCCCCCTCCCACCCTCTCCCCACCCCCGCCTCCTCCCACTCCCTCCCTCCACTCCATTCCATCCCTCCCTTTCTGGGATTCTGGCGAGGTGCGAAGCTGGGAGGGGTCCGTGTGGTACAGGCAGGAGTCCCCCCATGGCTTCCTCATTGACCGATGTTTGCTGCAGCCGTCACGGAGGGCCCCCCCCCGCACGGCCCAGTTTCGCAGAAAGGCACGACGCGTGATTTTCCCTAGGCAAAGCCAACCAACCAACCAACCTCCATCCCTCCCCCCCAATCCTTCCTCCTGTCCCTCCGTCGTCACTCCTTGTTCTCATGCTCCCCTTTCTTCCATCTCTCCCCCGACCTCTTTCTTGGCCGGTCTGGGCGTTTCGCCTAGCATACTTTACCGCTTTCGATCATGAAGGTGCGAATTCCTAACAGTTGCAAGGATGAAGGGCGAACTGTTTTCAAACAGTTATTTAATCGTTTCGCTTATTCCGCCGGCCCATATTGCCTCGCTGCTGTCGTTTTTCGGGGTGTTGTTGTCAATGCGGTGCGATTGGATGGCTGCCATTTTTCGGAGGCGGTGGGTGGCGTGTTAGAGGCCTCACGGATGTTGGTTGGGCTTTCGTGGTTGGCCTCTCAGGGGCCTTTGGGAGGCAGTTTTGCGACCTCTTGGGGGCCGTGTTGGGGCCTCTTGGGCTTCTTTGGGGCCTTTTGGGGCTTCCTGGTCCCCTTCTTGGGCCCCTCTTGTGGCCGTTTTGGGGCTCGCTTGGGCCGTCTTGGGCGCCTCTTGGGCTGTCTTGGGGCCATCTTGGGCCGTCTTGGGGCCCTCTTGGAGGCTACGTGGGCCGTCTTGCGGCGGTCTTGGAAGCCTCTTGGGCTGTCTTGGAGCGCCGGTAAGCCAAAAAGGCGAGAACGCCAACCACCGTCAGAAACTGAAGGAAAATCATTAATGTCTGCCTCTCTGGGCCCTCTTGGGAGGTCTCTTGGAGATCTCGTGTGGCGTCTTGAAGGCGCGTTGGGGCTGTCTGGAGATTCTCTGGCTTTTTGGATCGCTCTTGGACCGTCTCGGACCATGTTGAGCTCTCTTGGAGGCCACTTGAAGCGCTCCTGGAGCGCTCTTGGGGGCCTGCTGGGACCTTGCCGGGACCTGCCCAGGACCTGCCCAGGATCTGCCCGGGATTTCCCCGGGATCTTGTCGAAACCTTGCCGGGACTTGTGTTTTTTTCCCAACCATCCTGTGGTGTTGGGTCCTCGTTTTGAAGAGACGGTGCCCCGCGTCCCTCTCCTCTCCTCTCCTCTTCTCCTCTTCCCCCTCCTCCCTCGTGCCCGCGCCCGCATGCGTCAGCCACACCCATTTCGGCACACCCTCACACGTTTCGTGGCTCCATAGGGAGCTCCACCGAAGGCCCCAGTGCCCGCGCCCGCATGCGTCACCCACACCCATTTCGGCACACCCCTCACACGTTTCGTGGCTCCATAGGGAGCTCCACCGAAGGCCCCAGTGCCCGCGCCCGCATGCGTCACCCACACCCATTTCGGCACACCCCTCACACGTTTCGTGGCTCCATAGGGAGCTCCACCGAAGGCCCCAGTGCCCGCGCCCGCATGCGTCACCCACACCCATTTCGGCACACCCCTCACACGTTTCGTGGCTCCATAGGGAGCTCCACCGAAGGCCCCAGTGCCCGCGCCCGCATGCGTCACCCACACCCATTTCGGCACACCCCTCACACGTTTCGTGGCTCCATAGGGAGCTCCACCGAAGGCCCCAGTGCCCGCGCCCGCATGCGTCACCCACACCCATTTCGGCACACCCCTCACACGTTTCGTGGCTCCATAGGGAGCTCCACCGAAGGCCCCAGTGCCCGCGCCCGCATGCGTCACCCACACCCATTTCGGCACACCCCTCACACGCTTCGTGGCTCCATAGGGAGCTCCACCGAAGGCCCCAGTGCCCGCGCCCGCATGCGTCACCCACACCCATTTCGGCACACCCCTCACACGTTTCGTGGCTCCATAGGGAGCTCCACCGAAGGCCCCAGTGCCCGCGCCCGCATGCGTCACCACACCCACACCCCTCACACGTTTCGTGGCTCCATAGGGAGCTCCACCGAAGGCCCAGTGCCCGCGCCCGCATGCGTCACCCACACCCATTTCGGCACACCCCTCACACGTTTCGTGGCTCCATAGGGAGCTCCACCGAAGGCCCCAGTGCCCGCGCCCGCATGCGTCAGCCACACCCATTTCGGCACACCCCTCACACGTTTCGTGGCTCCATAGGGAGCTCCACCGAAGGCCCCAGTGCCCGCGCCCGCATGCGTCCCCACACCCATTTCGGCACACCCCTCACACGTTTCGTGGCTCCATAGGGAGCTCCACCGAAGGCCCCAGTGCCCGCGCCCGCATGCGTCACCCACACCCATTTCGGCACACCCCTCACACGTTTCGTGGCTCCATAGGGAGCTCCACCGAAGGCCCCAGTGCCCGCGCCCGCATGCGTCACCCACACCCATTTCGGCACACCCCTCACACGTTTCGTGGCTCCATAGGGAGCTCCACCGAAGGCCCCAGTGCCCGCGCCCGCATGCGTCAGCCACACCCATTTCGGCACACCCCTCACACGTTTCGTGGCCCCATAGGGAGCTCCGCCGAAGGCCCCAGTGCCCGCGCCCGCATGCGTCAGCCACACCCATTTCGGCACACCCCTCACGCGTTCCGTGGCCCCATAGGGAGCTCCGCCGAAGGTCCCAGTGGGTGTGCCCGCATGCGTCCCGCACACCCATTTCGGCACACCCCTCACACGTTTCGTGGCCCCATAGGGAGCTCCACCGAAGGCCCCAGTGGGTGTGCCCGCATGCGTCCCGCACACCCATTTCGGCACACCCCTCGTACGTTTCGTGGCCCCGTAGGGGGCTCCACCGAGAAGATATTCACAATTGTAGTATTCACAATTGCATATGGTTGGGTCCTTCGCCAGGATATTTTTTCGTCGGGAGCTCAGATCGCGCACATCTGGCGATGCGTCATTCTGCATGGAGCGTTCATACAACGATTCGCCTCGCGTGGAGAAGGGTTTGAGTACGATTCGGGCAACTAACTTCTAAGGACTCAATCCTGAAAAGCCCGGAGTTCGGTCGACCTCAACAAGTTTTGTCATGCCTGAGGTGTGTTAACCGTGCTTGCATAGTGTGCGGTGCACCTGTCCGTTATCTTTCTGTTGATCTGTGCAGTGCGAATGGGAATTGATTGGACTAGGAGTTTTTCCCTTGGAGGTCTCGCCCTCCTGCTTGGGTGTATGTGGACTGCAGCCGTGCGATGACAACAAAAATCCAGCCAGGCCCGGCGCCGCGGTGCCGCCGCGGCTGCCTGGCAGCGCTGGCCAGGGCGTGCTGGCCAAGGGCTCCTCGGCTGGGCGCGCCTCCATCGTCGTGTACACAACTTCCGCGCAGGACCAGCTGCGGGGGATGAGGAGGGAGATGATCCGTAGCTTCTAACCGATCCCTTCCCCCATCCCCGGCCCCACCATCCCACCACCCCAGCTGAGGATATGCCGCTCGAAACTCGAAGAGGGGAACAGGCTATATTCCCATCCAGGCGGATAAGCCGGCCAGTGGGCCCAGGCCACGCCCGTGGGGATAGGGATCGGTGGAGTGATGCTCCGAGGAGGAGGTGGAGGAT